GCAGGCATTCTCTGCTGCAAGATAAACCTGGTTAGTAGACATGGCAGCCTGAGAACGACGACGTTTTTTCAAGTTGATCTCGAAAGTGATCTGTGTCCCAGATTTTTGGACAGCTGTCATGATCAGACATTCGCAAAGAGACGTATAGTCGAAGTGCTTCAATGAAACATGAGTCTCCATGAGGCTCAAAGTTGAGTATTTAACCCTTCTAGGTTTTAAGGATGAGCACGGATACTTGTTGAAACGCACAGGATACGGAGCATTTTGTTTTTGCATGGAGATGGTAATGAAACTTGAATTCTGCTGCCGACCAACGAGGACGTACAGGCGGTGTGGATGAAACAAAACATGTGGGCATGGATGAAGGGTCGTGGAGTGAACAAAGTCGAACGATCATGGTGAGGAGAAGGCGATACTCGCGCGGATATTCTTGAGAGTCTCTCGGAACAGGACGGCGGTAAGCGAATCCTTCTCTCTAGCACGAGTCTGGTCAAGGACAGCCGAAATGAGTATTAGCGTGATTGGCTCCCAGGTAGGTTCGAGGAGATCCTGAGGGTAGGGCTTATCTGACGGCCATAATGTGCACGGAAAAGCAATGAAACACCACGTCAGAATTGGATGTTTCGAGTACGCTATACAAAGATAGTAGGCACAACATGTACTCACGTTCTCCAGTATGCTGGTCTCGATTAAGGGGAGGTTGAACGTCGTGATCCAAAAGATTCGTGAGAGGCGTGATGAATCTCCTCATTCGGGCGTGGACCAAGAATATCCTCGCCTCGTACAGCATCAGAATGTGTCGGGTATCTGGGCCTATTTGGAGAAAGAGGATGTAATGTAGAGCCTTCTCTAGAGCCAGGAAGCGGGGACTGATAGCGTGTAGGGCGTCTTGGGGGTATGGGGTACTGCTGAAGAGGGACAGTCTGGAAGCCACCTCTACCTTCCTCGCCTTCTCCCTGAAGGGTGTAGGTTTCATGAGGAACAAAACCAGGGTGGGTGCGAGAACTAGGCTCTGTAACCAGAGGTCGAGACTGATGGCGTGACGTATAAAGAGTGGCAGTGTGGAAGCCCCTTCTATCTTCCTCTCCTTCTCTCTGATAGGGATAGGTTTCATGAGGAACAAAGCTAGGGTTACGCGAAGATTCTTCTGCGGCAGCCTCGATCTCGTGAGCGGCTGAGCTTTCGCCGTTGCGACCTGCTCTCGCCACTCTTCCAAACATGCTTCCGAAACCACCCAGGGGTAACGGAGCAGCGAGGCTGAGAGAACTGCTCGACAGAGCCAAGGCGACAAAGAAAATGTTGAACTTCATATTGGAAAACAAGAATGTGTGGATGTCTAAGATAGAGAAAGGGAGGTTTGGTAGGAAGGGGAAAAGGGATGGCCAACCGAGGTGGGTCGTGTATTTATATCTTGCTATTGAGGGTACTTTGCTTGACGGGTTCAACTTAGGCCTACTGAGATGTCTCTATTGCTTACCCAACGATTGACCCTGCAAAAGCAAGACCGAGCTCAAAAATGGGGTCGCCTGCTTGCCGGTTCCCACCTGTTCATGGGGACCAAATCGATGGTGATGTAAGCCACCTCTGTGGGTCATGGCGCCGATGAACATTGTGTGTGAGAACGAGGTTAGAGTCGCCAGATGCACCAGGCTCACCTCTTGACATAGGAAGCGTTGCGAAATGAACAGTCTGGCCCGATCCCCACTGAATTGCGTGAGAACAGCATCGTTCTGATCTAAGACTCGTGGCCGGTAGTGTTGGAATTCGGGTTTACTTGACGGGCGGCAGACTCACCATCTGATTGTAGCACGCTTATCAAAGACAGTGTACTGACAGCCCGAAGAACATGAAAGACAAACAGCCGCATCTAGTCAATGGTGATCACTTCACGTGCTGTGGTCATTATCACCGGAATATTTGTGCAGCAGAGCTGGCGATACTTTGCAAAGCTCACCTGATCGGCTCGTTTCCCATAGGAGAACCACATTTGTGGGTCGACCCTTCGCACCTTTACCCCTGTGTACGCACGGCTCCTATCCGGCTCTGAAAGAATTACCGCCCACAGGTCTATTCAGTGGCACCTGTGCAAAGAGTCTTGAAATTCGCCAACGATGCACACGCACACAAAATAAGACAGTGCCGACACACGATCTGTCTAGAACGCCCACCAACTCATCCTGGTTGTCGGGTGGAAGAGCCAACAAGCCAAAGCAAAGTCTTTTGGTACAACCTCAGCAATACTTCAACTCGACACGTTCTGAGGGTTGACTGGAGAATGTCAAAAAAGTACGGATATTGCATGGTGAAAGCTTGCATTACATTGCCCGGCAACGGAGATAGGTCTCTAATTTGACGCTCGAGGACTGTTACGGTGTGGGAGACATGAAAGCAGACACATGTAGAGGAAACTATGCGAGGTTTGACCACAATTTGTGAAAGCAAGAGCAACTAGAGTTCTCCAGGCGCGGTCGTGACTGGACCGTAGGGCTGGTCGACTAAAGACAGTGATGGAGCTCTCAGAAGAAGCCACCGTAATCGCCCCCTGAGGAATCGTGACCGTGACCACCGGAAGAAGACCAGCCATGACCATGACCATCGGAAGAAGACCAGCCATGGTTGGACTGAGCCGCTGGGGCCGGCTGATGGCGGATAGACTCCGATTGTCTTCCAGCCGAGACTGAAGGTGCAGGAGCAGGGTGAATGTTGTCTTTTTCGCCGTTGGCAAGAATCATGTCGAAATAATAAGCGACTGTTTAGATCAGATGCTCCTCTACATCAAGTTCGTAGAAGCTGCATACTTACGAGGGATCATTCCATGGGGACCGTGGCCTGCACTTTCTTGAGGGGGATGGAGACTGTCTTGAGGAGCGTGGTGGCCGGGACTTGATCGAGGTGAACTAGTAAGAGCTAGATCAGTATATGCATCTGGAAAGACTTCTGGATACCTTGCCCGAGGCGCAACACCGGGACGCATCTGAGTAAGAGGAACCGATTGACCTTTACTGCCTTGACTCTTGAGAGTCAAAGGTTCTCGAAGAGCTCCTTGTTCAGGACGGATGGGGCTTAGATGCCCTGGAGAATCCTTTTGATGAGGAGAATGCGTGCTGCTATGACCGTCAAACACCTCAGATGGAGCTGGCGGACTAGACTCGATAATATAAGTCGGATTGGACGACTGGGTGGAGAACCACCCCCAAACTTAGGGCTGCTAGGACGCTCGAACGAGTATTGGGGAAGAGCAGGACGTTCGTACCAAGCGCGGGGACGTTCGGTAAGCTCAGAAGTGCGGGAAATGGACTCGCGAACGGCCTTGCTTCCATCTACACATCCGAAGCACTTTCCAAGGACTCTACCCAAACCACCCAATGGCATCGGATTGGGTATTGGAGCAGCAAAAGTGATAGCCACCCCGGACAGCGCTGCTACCATAAAGATTGGGCTGATCTTCATATTTGCCACCTTCTATGTCTATACAAGAGAAAGAGAGAGGGAGGTAGGGAGAGAGGGAGGTAGGGAGGGAGGGAGGGAGGGAGGGAGGGAGAAGGATAGAATTGCGGTCAGTTGGGGCGATGTGAAGAGAGATGAGAGAAGGGAACTTGGCTTGAAATTTTGACCGTCTCTTTAAACCTTTTCAAGACTGCGATTGACCGAAGTTCTTCTGAGTCTCTGGTGTGGGGTTCCATGCAAGTTTCGGCTACGGTACTTTGCTATGAGCAATATTGCGGTGCTTGTCTCACCTCGTACGGTACCAAAGAATAAAGTGTGGGACTGGTAGTTTCTCTCTTTCTCATTCTTGATGGTTCGTGTTCCATAAAAACGGGCGCTCTTGCAGATGCTTTATTTGGTACACCTTCTCTCATCATTCTTGGCATACTGTATGCATACGATGATCTGATCGAGCCTCTCTGCCAGAAGGAAAGAAGAAGGTATAGAGCGGGAAGAACTACTCCTTTTGGTGGTTTGCTTTTTGGTTTTTTTTTTGTTTCCACCACGACGCTCTTGCGGACGATTCATTTAGCGGGGTCCTTTTCTCGAATGCGTGGGATCATTCTTGGCAATGAAGCTCTCAGCGCTCTCAACTTTCGGTGAGAAGGAGTGATCCGAGAGCGATCAGGAAGGGTGACGCTGGATTTTGAACAACGAGAACGTCTCTGACACCTTGCACTCCAGCATGAGGACGATTTCTGATTACGTCGAACAGCGTACAAAACCGAAACGATGAGGCTCATGCGGGGACTTTCAACTGCCAAGAGAAGTGAAGTGGGTCCAGAAGAGGAAAAACTCTGCGTAAGTAGCATATCATGGTGGGTGTGAAGTTCCTCATCGACAAGACCCAATCATGGTTCATGATGGAGCTCTCTTCAAAGCTCAGTAATTACGACCACGATCTCTTTGCCTATGTAGGCTACTTCCGACGCGCACCAGCCTGCACAAATGGTGGTCACGCGGGATTCCTAATCTCCCACTCCCACTCCACCATCTGACTTCAATTACAGTATGTGGCATGGGTAGGTCCAAGCTCAAGCCGTCTCCCTCCCTTACCCGCTCTAGACCTTTACCCCTTCCTCGCTTCATATGTGGTATTTTCTCACTTGCCCCCGCTCAGCGTCCTTTCGGTGGACCGCAAAATGGCTTCACTCGGACTGGACATCTGTACTGACAGAAGGTTAGTGAATTTGTAAGTCGCTCCGTTGGCAGTTGAGTCAAACTTTTGGATCCGCGTAACCATGTTGATACTCTTCCAATGAACGGCATCACCACTTTTTGTCCAAAATTTGCTTAAAAATGTTGCAACTTTCCTTTATCAAAGCTGGGTCGGTGTTTCACAAGGCGACCACATGAGTTGTGTCGAAGGGGGATGGGGGCTGCTCTTCATAGCGTCCATCTGAAGAACAATACGAAAAAAAAAAAAAAAAAAAAAAAAAAAAAAAAAAAAAAAAAACAACCTCACCCCACAGGACAGGGGCAACCATACTGTATTCAAAAAAACTCAAAAAAAACTCCCAACGTGGGGCTCGAACCCACGACATTCAGATAAACCTCCGAGGCTATGCTCGGAAACCCTTGTATATAAGAGTCTGACGCTCTACCGACTGAGCTAGCCGGGATGGAATTGATGTTTGCTCGACCAAGCATTGCATTTATATATACGTAACTACCAAACTTTCGAAAGATCTTATCAGTATGACTTTGAGATTCATGTTCAACAGCTCCAGCCGTAAAGTTCTCAGTCACGAGGCACAGCTCGATCGCACCATTGTTCTGGTTCTGGATGCAATCTGAGATTATGATCAAGACAGCTATATACACAACTTCCATCTTCTTCTTTTTTCTTTTCTTTATACAGATACAGGTGAGTTTAGGGAATGTCAAGTTCGCCCTTGAGCTTCTTGATGAGCTTCTTCTCGTCGGTCGAGATGCCGTCCCAGAAGTGAGCCTTGAGAGCGTCGATCGAGGCACGGCTGATGTGGGAGATGATGACGTCGTTCTCCTCAAAGTGACGACCAAACATCTTGGCCGACTCGTGGACGGCATGCTCGATCTTGACGGCTACACCTCCACCGACGTCCTTCTTGAGAACAACGTCGCGTTCCTTGTGGTTGATCTCAAGCGATGTAACTTTTCCGAGGTGGACGACGGTTTTCTTACGTGTTGTAGGGTCGGTCTTGACAACGGCAAGAGGCGTACCGACGCGAAGGGAGCCATCGATAATGTCACAACCGAGGATGATGGGGTCACGCTTGGCGAAACAGGCAATGGTCTTGAGTCGGCATGGCCAGACAGCGGTGCCGGAAGCTTCCTTCTTCTTGCCATCCATGACCTCCTTGTGGTATTTGGTGAAGTCGTTCTCGAGATGGTAGATGATCTTGGCGGTGAAAATCTTGATGCCGAGCTCCTCGGCCAATTTCTCGGCCTCCTTGTCGACGGGAACGTCAAAGGCCAAGATGACGGCCAACTCCTTGGCCTTCTCAAGCATGGTTGAACATCGCACCACATCTTTCTTGAAGACGGGACCAATGTTGATACCGTTCACCGGAATCTTGCTGACACGCAAGAACTCGAGCAGGGCCTCGAGCGAACCAAGGGTGGAAGCCTGCACGCAGACACCACGACCGGAGGTGTCGATCGAGTTCATGAGCGAGCTGAGATCGCTCATGACCTCATCCTTGAGGTCCTCCTCGTCATCATCAGGACCGACAACGAGCAACCTGGAACCGGCGATGGCCTTCTCGAGATCGGGGGCGGCAATCTTGACACCGAGCGCAGCCTTTACCATCTTGTGGTGCACATACGCACCCTTCACACGCATCTCTTTGAGTGGCTGCGGTGTAAGCAGCGCTCTGACCTGTGTGACAATCGGCCCATTGAGACCACAGACGACAATACGGTCACCTTCGTGCATGACACCGTTGGAAAGCACAACGTCGATGGTAGTACCGAGACCCTCGATGACCTTGACTTCGAGCACGGTGCACTCGAGCTCGGAGAGGTACATGAGCTTCTCGCTCATACGAGTCTGGGTAAGCTCGATGATGAGACGCAGCATATCGGGGATACCTTCACCAGTGTGAGCCGAGGTTGGGACAAGACTGACGTTTCGGCCCATATTCTTGTTGTCGTAGTAGGGGACAGCGTTGAGACCCTGCTCGGCAAACTGGACGATGACCTGGTTGGTTCGCTCCTCGAACTCGTTGCGGGTGGCGCGCTGCTGCTTGGACAGGCTGTCGCGGAAACCGCCGTTGGGAGTGGGCTCCCAGCCGTAGAGACGGTCGATCTTGTTGAGCGCGACGATGAAGGGCGTCTTCTTGTCCCTGAGCAGACGGATCGACTCGATGGTCTGGGGCTCGAGACCGTGCATGATATCGACGACTAGAATGGCAATGTTGCAGAGCGAGGAACCACGAGTTCGGAGGTTGGTGAACGACTCGTGCCCTGGGGTGTCGATGACGAGGAGACCGGGGACCTTGATCTCGAAGGGCTCCTCCTTGTCGAGAACGGCAGTCTTCTGCTGGATGACCTCGGTAGGGAAGTAAGTGGCACCGATCTGCTGGGTAATACCACCAGCTTCGCCCTCCTGGACATTGGTCTGACGAATCTTGTCGAGAAGCTTGGTCTTACCTGTGTCGACGTGTCCAAGAATACAGCAAATGGGGGATCGGAGGTCGTCGCGGCTTCGTGCGGCCATGGCCTGTTCGGTGCGCTCCTTCCTTCGCTCGGCGGCGGCAGCCTTCTTCTCAGCGGCTTGGCGCTGAGCAGCAGTCATACCGTCGTCACTGTCAGAATCAGAGTCCGAGTCGTCGTCGTCATCGTCGCTGTCCGAGTCATCATCATCGTCATCATCCTCATCGTCTTCGTTGTCATCTTCCTCGTCGTCGGCCTGCTTGGCCTTGGCAGCGTCCTTGCCGTTGGTCTTGGCATCCGACTTGGGAGCGTCCTTGGCGACAGCGGGCTTCTCGTCGTCAGACTCGGCGTCCCAGCTGTCCTTGACATCCTCACCTTCGGATTCAGCGTCCCAGCTGTCCTTGACGTCTTCGTCCTCTTGAGCAGGCTCGTCAGCCTTGGCAGCCTTGGCAGCCTCTGCCTCCTTCTGAGCAGGCTCAGCCGACTTTTCGGCAGCAGGAGGCTCGGCAGCCTTGGCTTCCTCCTTGGAGTCCGCGGTGACGGGTTCGGGGATGGTGAGACCGCCGTCACGCTTCTGAGGACCCTTCTTCTTTCGATTGTCAACGACAGTGCGCTTCTTGGCGGCGGGCTTGGAGGAGCCAGCCTCGCGGTTTTCGAGGCCTTCGACCTTGATGTGACCAGCCTGGATCATGGCCTGCATCCTGGCTTCTGCGGCAGCCTTCTCAGCCTTTTGCTTGGGAGTGAGGAACTTGCCCTCCTTCTTGAGCTGCTCCTTCTTTGCCTTCTCCTTCTCCTTCTTTGCGCGCTTTGCGGCTTCCTTGCGTTCCTCCTCCTCCTTCTCGAGACGCTCGCGTTCCTCTTCGGCACGAATGGCTTCGAGTCTGGCCTGCTCTGCCTCCTCTTCGGCCTTCTTCTGTGCAGCAATGCGAGCCTGAAGGGCAGCAAGTTGAGGGTTGATCTTCTTGGGGGCGGCTGAAGGTGCTGGTGCGGCGGGGGTAGGTTCGGCGGCCTTGGCACCCTTCTTCTTCTTCTTTTTGTCGGCGGAAGAAGTGGCGGCCGCACCCTCGTCCTTGGCGGCGTCAGCAGCGTCATGATCGGCGTCGTCGTCTGCTGCTGCGTCCTGCTTAGAGGGCTGTGATGCGGAGGCGGCCTTTTTGGCAGCGGCCTGCGCCTTCTTCTTGGCCTTCTCTTTTTCCTTTTTGAGCTTCTCTTTCTCCTTCTTGGTGAGGATGCGGGGTGCACCATCTTCATCAGCATTATCGGCGGCGTCGTCGTCGTCGTCGTCGTCGGCTTCCTTTTCCTGCTTTTGTGCGCCACCCTTCTTCTTGGGCTTGTCCTCGGGGAACTCGTCATCGAGCATGTCATCGACAGTGCCTTGAACGGGAGCCTTGCTAGCGAGGTCGTCTTCAGCAAGGGCCTCGGCAGCAGGAGCAGCAGCGTTACCGCTGACATCCTCTCCGAATTCGTCAAAGTCAAAGTCGTCGTTCTTCTTCTTCTTCTTCTTGTCCTTCTTGCCCTTCTTGTTGGCGGACTTGATGGCGCCCATCAGACCGTAGTTGTCATCATCGTCGTCGTCGGCAGCGGCGGCTGGTGGTGGGGCAGGCTTGGACTCAGTCTTGTTGCCGTTGGCGCCCTTCTTGTTGTCCTTCTTGTTGTCCTTCTTGGAAGGTGCTGGCTCATCGTCATCGTCGTCATCCTGACCATCGGCACCGTCGTCGAGCGACATGGCAGCAAAGAGGTTCTTTGCCTTGTGGGTGGGTACATCGTCTTCATCGTCGTTGGCGTTGGAGGCAGCATTGTTGTTGTTGTCGATTGACTCGCCGGCCTCGTCCCAAAAATCATCGGCACCGCCCTTCTTGGCGCCCTTCTTCTTTCCCATGGTGATATGAGGCCGCTTGGGGTGCGGTGATTGAGCTTTTCGAGTTAGTGGTAGCTGAAGCTCGAGGGTTCGAGGCGTTTGCAGTAAGTGACAAGTGTAGAAACGCCTGAATGGAACTGTGTATACTCCCGCTGAAGGATGATTTTGGCGGAGAGCTGTGACCTGGAAGTGAGTGGTGGGTGGGTAGATGGTGGTGGAAATACGAGCGGTTTTAGATTCGATATGAATGCTTCTCGATCTGTGGCACAGACGAGACACAGACGAGGAAAAACCATCTGATCTTCAAAAATCGCGACTGAGCCAGCTAGCTGCTCAGTGTAAGCCACATCCAGACGCCTGCACTCTCAGATCAGGCCGCCAAAGAATAAAAGATTTGAGAAGAAAGTGAAATTCAGGCACTACTCGTGCAGAATCCTTTTTTGGCTGCTCTCCAAGCTCCACTTTTCACCCAAGTTTTTCTCCACACTTTTTTCTTCTTCTTTTTTTGGCATTTTTTCTTTTTAGCTGCTGGTGTCACTTGATTTACACCATCGACCATCCATCTGCAAGTTTGTACCTCATACCAGGACATTGCTTGGCGTCAAGATGTCCGAGAGAGCATCCTCTTCCAGCGATATGCTGCCGGCCAAGCCGACCAGCACCACCACAGTGTAAGTTGCACTTTCAACCAGCCACCGCTGATGATCTAGCGCACCTTTGAAATGAGTTGCTGACCCTCTTGAATCGCTTTGATAAATGTGGCATCATACAGAACGCTTGCGGGCAAGCAGAAGACGACACCTTGGGAAAAGAAACTCGAACAGCGAAGGAAGCAGGAGTCGATCAAGCAAAGAGAGCGCGAGATGAAGGCCGAGAAGGAGGCTGAGGCAGAGAGGTAAGTACCGACTCACAAGCAGACATGCTCATTTGGACCTGAATTCCAGCTAGAGCCGATGACTGACTCGTACTTCATGCTGTGATGGTCGTCGTATCTTGCTCGTTGTCTGCACGGTATCTGTAGGAAAAAGACAGTGACTCGCGAAAGGAAGCAGATGGCCGAGGAGAAAGCTCGTCTCGAGATCATGGCCCAGAAGGTAAGTAGGAGAGCGACTTGAGGCTGCTTCTATA